CATTATGTGACCATTATGAGCAGCAGAGTCTGCAAGAAACTTGTGTTTTGCTGTTGGTTATCTGGATTGTTGATCATAATCTCCCCCCTTAGTCTAGGACTAACTCTGACGTTCTGTGATTCAAATGTTATTGATCATTTTCTCTGTGATGCTTCTCCTCTCCTGAAGATTTCATGTTCAGATACACGGTTTATGGAGAAAACTGTTTTAACCTGTGCAGTACTGACTCTCATCTTGACCCTTGTGTGTGTAGTTCTCTCCTATGCTTATATCATTAAGACAATTTTAAGATTTCCATCTGTCCAGCAAAGGAAGAGAGCCTTTTCCACCTGTTCATCACACATGATTGTGGTGTCCATCACTTATGGAACATGTATGTTCATCTATATGAATCCTACAGCAAAGGAAGAAGTGACCATTAATAAAGTGGTAGCACTCCTCATTTCTTCTATTTCACCTATGTTAAATCCATTTATTTATACCCTGAGAAATAAGCAAGTGAAGAATGCTTTCAAGGACTCAATCAAAAGAATGGCATCATTCTTAAAGAAATATAACTAAAATAGATGTGAATAAGGCATATTAAAATCAAAGGTGAATGGCTGAAATAACCTGCCATTGAAACTTGTATTCATCTTCACCTGCTAATTTATATTTCAGTTATATTAGCTTTCTTAACTTCTCTTTAAATTTACTTTCATTGCATATTAATAAACTCATTAATTTCCTTTGTTTTTTACTAATACTTTGGAAGGGAATTTTTACCTTAGTAAGGATATTTCTTAGTCCAGGTTGACTAGAGAAACAAATTCAGAGACACTCTTATGTGTATGAGATAAATTTATATCAAGAAGCAATTATTCATCAATAAACATCCCAGCCCAGTCCAAATCAAGTCCACAAATTCAATACTAACCTGTAAGCCCATGAATTCCTCTTCAGACTCATGCAGCACACGCAATAATGCTGAATTCAGGAAGATCACAGTGCATGGAAAGTCCTGTGCATCCAGTGGTGGTGGAAGCATCTCTAGGGGTCTGACTGGCTTGTCCATGGGAAGGTGAAGCAAAGAGAGTGCATCCTGGCTCCAGGGAGGAAAAGAGAGAACTCCCAGAATTCTCATGAGAAGGCCAAGACCACAAGGAAGCATCAATCAGGCTGTGACCTGACTGACAGGCTGGACTCCATCCCTATAACCTGTTTATCAACTCGACATGAAATTATGTAATTACAGCAGACATGAAAATATATTAATGATAAATCCAATTTTGTACAAATAATCTCATATAATTCAATATTGTCATGTTATATGGAATATCATTTGGTTTTGCATAAAATTGATAATATAATGCTATTAATTACAATATGCAAACATGGACAATTTAATACAAAAATTCAAGAAATAACTGCAATTTTTGTTAAAATGCTGAACAGCATAGAAAAAGGCATGATGTAAAAATAATTTAGAAAAAAAGACAGTGGCATTTCTAAGACTTTAAAAAAATAAACTAAAAGCACACAAAAATAGATCAATTTTCACAATTTTACTATTTGGGACATATAACTGAAAGTAAATATAGAAATGTTGTCAATGAAAAGAAGTCAGAGATCCAGATTAAATGGAAATTTAGATAAATAGTCCAATCTATTACCTTTGGGTTCCTAGTAAAAGCAAATGGTGGAGAGGCAAGGTGTCGAATCATGGGTTTTAGTGACTTGTGCTTTAATGTCCACACATTATGAGTGATTCAGCTTCAGAATTCATCACAGCATGTGACATTTACAGACTAGCATAACATCAAATCTTTAAAAGTGTGATTTTTTTTAAGTCACTGATTCTCATAAGAGGTGACAATTTAGTCTCAGATATAGTCTATAACTCTTTGGGCTATGAGTTATATAAAAACTGAAAACTAAAAACCCATAATTGATTAGTCAATTCTGAGACCTAGCAGCTCTGTAGGACAGGGTATGACTTCTCCATGGATTCCAAGGCTGAAATCTCTACAGAAGCAGCCTGCCACATTTCCTCCTGCAGGGCAGCTAATGAATTAGAAGTAAACAAATACATAAACCAATCAATTGGCAGCAAGTCAATTCCTACTTACAGGATCCCTAATGGTGGAAATTTTTTGGTCGCCCATCAAGAGCTTAAGCACAGTGCCACCATAGCTCCTTAAGAAGGCTGTGAAAAGATAAACTCCACCCACTGTCTTGACTGATCAGTGTTCTAAAAGACTTGCTGAAATTGCTGTTGGTAGATGAAGGAACAAAAGAGTGTTGTGCCTTCTTGAATTTTGAACTTTGGGTTTGCTCCTGAATCTGGAAAAATCTGGAGTTATGAAAAAATTCTCCTCTGTAGGACAAAATGTTAAAGAGAGCCTGAGGGCAGCCTGAAAAGATCGTTAGGTGACCACCTGGATCCACTTGTGAGTGTAAATGGGAGAAACAGGTTGAGTCTAAACAATGACTCCCGTGGACCTGTTTCATAGGGACTAGAGGTGAAGATGGGAGCAGGTTGGTTGGTCTGAAGTTAAAGGGTTGTATGGAACCCAAGCCAATGGCATGACCTAGCCCAAGGGGACTAGGGTTGTGGAGAATTTGTGAAGGGACCCATGGTCGAAAGACAAGGTGGCCAATGGGCTTCTTGATGAAGTTAAGTGAGTCAGCATACATTGATTTGACCAGAATCAGACCAGATGAAGATAAGATTTTTGAGCCTGTGAATTGGTGCATATTGCTGCTGAATCTATTAATTTGACTTTGCTTATGGAGGCAAAATCATGTTTCCAACTGGAATAAAGATTCTTTAGAGCAAAGATATGCTTGTCTCCTCAGAGCACTGGGTATTATAAATGGGGAGTATAGAAATTGGATTCCCAAAATTGAGGGGTCATAAAGTGGCTGGTTTATAAACTTTAATGGGTTGGAGAATATGTTAATGGGATTATAGGATTATGGAGTTCCCATAACTTCAATGGTTAGGCATTGAATATTTTTGTTTTGTTCACTTATGGAATATTATGTTTCAATGAAGGTGGCACATTATGAATTATATACATTTTAGTTTTATCCTGTTAGGCATAAATATGATCCTACCATTGTCTTTGTTTAAAAACTATGTATGGCTAAAGAGTTGCGTAAAGGTGTCAAGTTGACAAGGGTTGATCTGTGGTAGTTACATAACTTTGTATCAACATGAAGATATGAAAATGTAGGG